CTCCCTCTGCTGCTACTGCTTCTGAGGCGTCTCAATATTCTACCAGCAATTGGGCATCCAAAATAGTAGCTTCAATGAGTTCTGCTGCTGCTGCTGCTCCTGCTGGGGTTGTTTATAACGAAGGGCAGGCCAGGCAAGGGGATGCAGACAGCAGTGTGCTTCTAGAGAACGGCTTTTCTGCCCCACCTCCTAAGGGGGGAGGCAGGGCCAAGGGAAAGCAACGACAGGGCGCAAGAGGTAAAGGAGGTGGGAGAGGAATGGGCGGGGAGGCAGGGGGGGTTGAAGGGTCTTCTATAGCAGGGGTAGCAGGAGTGGGAGGAGCAGCAGCAGGGGCATGGGCGGCGGTGGGGGGTGTGGTTGAGAGTGTGTCGAGAGGGGTGTGTGTGGGGTTGCCTGGGAGTGTGAGTGAGGTGAGGGATGCCGAGGCCGCTTCTCTGCTTATATCGAGACCAACGACGGAAAATGGTGGTGGATATTGATAGCCAGCCAGGCGGTGATATTATAGCTGATATGATGTTACCATTATAAGGATGCCCAACCAATCTTTCTGCCTGGTGCAAAATCAATATCTCTATGAATGGTGCTTATTCCTCATGGGGAAATGCCTTGTTATTTATGAGAGCCCCTTTCGTGAGAGATGGACCCCTCCCCTGCGATTCACCAGAGGCATTTCCAACAAATACGTGCTGCACATTGCTGGTGCATTCCGCTGGTGAGGAGCGCTACCTCTTCTAGAAACACATCAATTCACCCCATGCAGAATTACCGTATGGCCCCGGATATAGGCGCCGTCCGATTAAGGGCGCCGGCGCTTCTATCTGGAGCATGGCGCTTATGGCCGGAAGTCGATTATAAGCGCCCCCCCTCTAGTGGGTGTACTTATTATAAGCGCACCTTTTCACGTTGTGGAGAACTCATTACAAAAAAAACATCTCTAATTAACACTAAACATGAGCATGCTAACATTACACCTACAACATCATCACTGACATTTTTATCTAGCTACATATTGCAAAGTTTAGCATCTCTACCTAGAAAATCTACTCCTCGTCGGATTCTGGCTCCTGGCAGTTGTTGCCAAAGAAGCCATCGGCGATGATGGAGTCATCGACATCTACCTCCGCGGTCAGCTGGCTCCGCCTGTGCGCCATGGCGAGGCCGTCCTCACTGCCGTCAAGCGCGTTGCTGATGCCACAGGTGAGGAAGGCGCGCTTGATGAGGTCGGCGGGCACTGCTTTCCAAGCCCGTGAGATCCACCTCACGACCACCTCTGGGGGTGGCTTCTTCAAGTTCCCTGTACCAACAGAATCACATGAAATGAGACGGTAGTTAGCGCAACAAAAGGGGGGAAAATCTTCTACGGTAGTCTAGGGACTCGCGTGGCTACCGTACCTGCTTTGGTTAGCTGTTCTTGGCCTTCTTCCTGAAACCACTTCTGATACTGCTGGCGAACGCTCGCCTTAAAGCTCTTGTTGATGGAGACGTCGAGGGGCTGTACCTCCGCCGTGCAGCCAGACGGGATGATCGCCGGCACGCAGTTGAGCTCGCGAAACTTCTCCTTAACGGCATCAGTGAGGTGACCGCGGTACGAGTCCAGTACGACCATCGAGCTCCGCGCATGCCTCCCGAACCCAGGCTTTAGAAATGGCTTGACGCACTCCTCAAGCCATTGTATGACGCCGTTGGCGTCCATCCAGCCGTTCTCGTGACACGACACGACCACATCTGCATAACAAACAAGCTTCTGTAAGTCTCTTTAAAAACAAAGACCGGTGTAAAGCAAACAAACAAGAATCCTGACTCACCCGGCGGGAACACCCCTTTCGGCACGGTCTTCCGCTTGAAAAAAACCCACGGCCTCAGCTTCATCCCGTCCGCCGTGCACGCCAACATCACGGTCACGCGCTCCTTCTGGTACCCTGCGCTCCTGATGGGCACCGACCGAACACCGGTTTGATCGACGGTAGTGGTGGCGGGCATCTCCAGCCACAGCGGCGTCTGGTCGGCGTTGATAATCCACGTCGTCTCGATGCCGCGCTCCCGACGCTTGTCACGGACGAATTGCCAGAAGTTCTTGCATTGCTCCGCGACATCTGCGGTTGAGCACAGTTACGGTTAGTGAGTAACAAGTGCATACACATGGCATAGAGAATAAAAATGATTCTTACGGGCGGCGGTTTTCTGGGCGACCTTCGTCTTCATTCGCACGCTGAGATTCCACCGCCGACGGAACCGGTCCGACCACCGTTGGCTCCCTTTCCACTTCACGAGGGGGTAGAGAATCTTCATGAACTCCCGGGACCACTCCTGCAGGCGGCCGACGGGCACCGCGGTTCCCTTGCGTCGCCAGTCGAGCAGTCGCTCATACGCCTTAATCTCCATCGGGCGGTACCACGACGCCCTGCCGCGACCGTGCATGCGGCACCTGGCAGAGTGGGCTTCCTTGAGGAAATCAGCGGCACACTTCCAGTTGGCGAGGCACTTGCGGTGGATGCCACTCTCGCGAGCCAGAGCGCGCACCGACACCGCCAAATCCAGCTGCGCGACCCACTTCAACTTCTCGGGGGCAGTATAGGCCTGACGCTTGTGGTCGTTGGGCTTGTGCCTGGGAGAGGGGGGGCGAGAATCACGGTTCTGTGAAGAAGGGTGAGGTCGCTTACGATTACGTGGAGGATAAGTTGGTATCGGGAGTTTCTCGGGGAGGCCATCGCGTGACCAGTATTCGACGCCGTCGTCGTCGTCACCGCCCGGCGCACCCTCGGGAAACACATCCTCAGCAGTGCCGGCCTCAGTAGCGGCCTCGGTGTCGGCCTCAGTGCGCCAACCGTCCTCGGCGTCTTGCACGTCGTCATCAGCGCCGACTGCAGATTCATCCCACGTGAAATCTTCTGGCTGGCCCCAACGTGGTGCTGGCGCTGGAGCGGGTACGTCAACATCGGGGCCCTTGTCATAATCCGGTTCCGACAGATACTCGTCGAACGCCGATGGGAGCAGGAGCGTGAGCACGGGGTGGTTGTCGATGTGAGGGGCCACCGGACACGGAGGAACAGGAGGAACAGGAGGAGCAGGGGGAGTCGGAGGCACTGGAGGAGCCGGAGGAGCAGGCGGCGCAGGAGGCTGTGGTGGCTCTGGAGGGTCTGGAGGTATGCGGCTATACCACCCGTCGGATGTAACACGGTACGCGGGCCTACTAGAAGGTTTTTTCTTGAAGAGAAAATGAGTGCCTGTGAATTCCGCCATGGCTTCCGCAGCCAGGCGGGCGAGAAAATGAAGACTGAATAAAAAACTGCAACCCTGGGTGGGTGTTGAAATGGGAGATTGAAGGGGACCCCTTCTGGTTTGCGGCTCGGGGTCCTCGTCGATGAGAGACGAGTACACCCCTGCCCCAACCCGCAGAGGAGGGTTGGGGGCACCATCCATGCTGCGCTGGCACGGCAGATTCCATCACGTTCTGGATGGTTCTGCCGAGATGCTCCTGCCTGGCAGCGCATGCCAACCTGATTGGGCCGCACGGCAGGTTTTGCATCAGCGCTGGCAGGTGCGTTGCACCGGGACGGGTTTTGTGCGGTGGGAAATCGAAACGCGGCAAGTTTCGACGTCATTCCATGCACGACCCCGCGTGCATGATACAGTGCTGTACTCGCCTTCTCCACGGCTTCAGAATGATATCCTTTACAGAGAAATTCATTTTTGCCTTTATAAAAGCGCCGGCGCTTATGGCCGTTACTCAATTACAAGCACCCCCCTTGAAAAATAATAATTTATTATAAGCGCATATGCGCTACTATCCGGGGTATTACGGTACAGGCTATTTTCATACATGCTCTCCGGATCCCCAACGTCCGACCCGCCACACCAATTTCACATCATCATCACTCTCCCCCCAACCTCCGCCATCACCCATCTCATAGTCACTGTCCATGGCATATTCATGCTCAATATATATTCCAGTGACTAACTTATATCTTGATTCTGTGAGGATAACCACGTGTCGACCAGGCCCTCAGATTCACTTTTAGGGACGTTGATGCATCAGGGTCCCTGTGAAAAAAAGCCTGAATTTTCAGGGTTCCTAAAAAAAAAGCCTGAATTTTCAGGGTTCCGGAAAACAAAAGCCTGAATTTTCAATCACATAATGCAATTGTGCAAGAGAGTAGCCTTTACGAACATGGTTGTAAAGGGATTCGAACTGAAAACCTTACCAATCGATATCTACTTCGCTAACCACTAAGCCAGTTTATCGAGTCAATAATCAGTATTTTTAATAAAAGATGTTATTATGCGCAAATGTTGGTTGACTTATTGTCTTGGGTGTTTTACGGGAAGGATTCGGAATGTGCATTCAGTGTACACTTCGATATAAGTCTGAAACATCAGTGTTAGCTATGAAGTAAAGGCTGAAAAAATCAGTGTCACAAAAATCTCAACACTGAAAATTCAGTGTAGGTACACAAAACTAGGCTGAAAATCAGGAATTTCAGGGAAAAAATCCTGATATCGTAGGGCCTGGTGTCGACCGCCAAATGGGTGCGCTGTGGTGATGGGGATGTGGTCCTGTGAGCTTCCCACCAAGATAAGTGATGATATCGTACCCGTCTGTGGGTGCATATCCCCCATGTCCCAGTGTCATTCGTTACTAATCCTTCAGTCGTTATTTGCAAATTATATAGATGACCAATATACAATATTTTTGTGCATATACGGTACAGGTAAGAACGCCCCACATTTTTTTACGAATCTAAATTGTGAACTGAAAATTGTATTTTGTGGGTATGTGCACCAAATGTCTGTTCCTTTCTCCGTTTTTCTCCCTCCTACCAAGAGTGTTCGCTCATTATCACAATCATGGAACGTGGTTAAGGAATGTCTTGTGGTGCAAAGAGTGCAAAGACTCCAGCCAGCATTGGAACGAAAAAATTGGTGCTGCTTGTTCTGTTACCCAGCATTGTAAATCTCCATAATGCACTAGTTTGCATTACCCTACACTTACTCCTGTACCATCATGAGAGCTTGGTAAGGTAGCGTGCAATATCAGGGTCGTCCAGAGGAACATCTAGGTCCCCTCGAATGAGGAACAGCTGCTTCACAAAGAGAGGCGGCTCCTCCGCCTTCACTCGACTCAATGCAGCCTCAAACTGTTCTTTTGAGCCGAATTTCTCTGAAGAGTGTGTAAGGGAGGCAACCGAGGGGTGTGGGCAAAAAGGAATGGAAATTGTTTTCACAAAGAGAGGCGGCTCCTCCACCTCCACTCTGGTTAACGCCGCCTCCAGCTTCTCCTCTGTTCCAAAATTCTCTGGAGTCCGGGGGAGGAAGCTAAGGAGAGTGTGGGCAAAGAGGAGTGGAAAGTACATCACAAGAGAGGAGCGGCTCGTCCACCTTCACTCGACTCAATGCCGCCTGCCACTGCTCCTTGCTGCAGAATTTCTTTGGGGAGAGGGGAGGAGAGGAATTGGGGCGTGGGGGGGGGGAGGAATAGGGGAGTGGGGAATGAGAGGGAGTGAGAGGGAATCAGAGGGAATGAGTGGGAATGAGAGGGAGTGAGAGGGAACGAGAGGGAACGGGTGGGAATGGATGAAAACGAGAGGGAATGAAGGAATAAGAACTCTGCACCACTACACAAACCACCTAAGGGAGGAAAATGGGGGAATGAAAAGACGAGATGCTAAGCAAAAGGCTGAGGGAAAAAGGAAGAGGGGGGAAGGAAAGGGGAAGTCAGAAAGGGACTGCATACGAAGAGAGGAGTACCTAGAGTAACAGATGAACTTTTGATAATTCTTAGGAGTACCTTGCACGCGGTCTTTTGAGACGTCTCTAAAGGAGAGGATATGTACCAGATGAACTTTTGAGAATTCTAAGGAGTACCTTGCACGCGGTCGAGTGCTCTGGCAACAGCAGGGTCGAGGCGAGGCAGCGTGGGAAGCACGCCCGTGGCGAGCACCTCGGGAGTGAGCTCTACCTCTGTGCTGCTGTGCCGTGCACCCGATGCCATGCTTCCGCTGCTGATAGATGGGTAGAAGGTGAAGGGAAGAGGGAGTATTGAGGGCAGGGTTGAGGCAGTGTGGGAAGCACACCCGGGTCAGACAAAAAAATCGGCTCAATTCTCATGTGACGCTGCGAGCAATGGCTGGAGGGAGTCGGGAAGGAGGTTGCCTAGTAGCTGCATAGCGTTCTGACGCTTTCAGCCCACCCGCGCAAGGGATTACTGCAAACTCTAACTCAATCTAGAAAGATTTCGAATGAACGGAAAGACGATACGATACTGGAAAATGTTTCCCTGTATGATTCCGTTTCCCGGTGAGTGGACGTCTATCATACAACGGAAACAGAGCCTTACCGCTGATGACTTCTGTACTCGAGACGGAGCAGGGACCAGGAGAGGTTCGCCTAATACGTCAGAATAATGGGGAGTAAGAGCGCGGCGCGAGGGTGTAAGAGGTGGTGGAAGTGGGGATGGTTGACATGCGTACCCTGTTAGGAAAACACGGTAACATAAGAAACTGTTTCTTATATCAAGGTTATGTACCATTTATGGGATGTGATCTTTTGCTTCATGGTTTCCTTCCTGTCATGGGGGACATTTGGAAGGTAGAACACGGTTAGAATTCTGCATGACGATGTAAAGGTTCCCATACCTACGGTGTTGGAAACATATAGTTCGCGCTTCTGAAGTGTCGAACTCTACAACGTAAGCGAAGCGAACTACAACGAAATAACAGCGAGTCAACCAAAGCGGTTGACAGAAAGACAACAGCAAGAGGTTAAGTGAAGGTCAAAGGTCAGCGACCTTTGACTCGCCGAAAAGCAGCGCGACAGCAAGGACACATAACTGACTCGCTATTGAGCAGTTACCCGAGTCGTCGCTGTATCGAACCGCAACAGCAGTTATAGTTAAACCTTTTCGTCAATAATGAAAGTGTTGGTTTCACTAAGGTTGGTTGGGGTACATAAACCTAACCCTAACAGTTGTACCCCCTATAACACACATCACTAAGACTACAATATTTGACACACCCCCATAGTCTAAGTGAGGGGTGTCAAGCAAAACCAAAAGTGTACGGTCACAAGACCAGTCACAAAGAAACAAAGCTCAGGGTGGATCACAACGTCACCACGCACTCCGAGCACAAGCAAAAGAGCCACAAGGCTAGTTCAAGAGTTCACAGAGGTATATGTAAAGTGTATAAACAAAGCAAGGAGAGAATTCAAGACCATGCAAGGCGAGAACCTGTGTCAACGAGACCTAACTGCACACAACACCTCTGGTGGTCACAAGGCGGCAGGGCCTTGGTGAAGATGTATGCAATGTTGGCCTCGGACTCAACAAAGTCGAAACGAGCCTGTCCATGCCTCTGCAGCTCTCGCATAAGAAAGTACCTGATGTTAATGTGCTTCACTCTGCTCTCCAGTCGCGGCTCTCGGCAGAGGAGAATCGTCGCCTTCTTATCAGTGAACAAGGTCGGCGCAGAGCTCGGCCGCTCACTAAGGTCAGTGAGCAAGAACGTCAGCCAGCGCAGCTCCTGTGCAGCCATAGCTCTAGCGTAGATCTCGGCCTCAGCAGTAGAGGTCGAGACCGAGGAGGAACGTGTGGACCTCCATGAAACAGCTCCAGAGCCCAGGCTGAAACAGTACCCCTGAGTAGACCTGTGCGTCTCGGCGTCGTCAGCGTAAGAAGAGTCACAGTGACCAGTAAGCACGACGTCCTGTCTCACTCCAAGAACCAGCCCCACGCCTAATGTCGTCGCTAGGTACTTAGCCACCCTCACAGCAGCTGTCCAGTGAACTGGACGGTGTCTCCCTGGCGCAACAAAGCGAGCAAGGATGCTGAGAGGGAAGGCAAGGTCCGGGCGAGTACAAGTCATCAGGTACATGAGGCAGCCCACAAGCTCTACGTAAGGACCACTAGGCTCGAACGGCTCGTCAGGAAAGGGTCCGGTGAGTCTGTGGTCAACGGCAAGAGGTGTGCGCTGTACAGTAGAGTGCTGAAGCTCGAACTGCTGAAGGACCTGCTGCACCATGTGTGGCTGTAAGAATGCAATGGTGCGAGCAGCTCTATCCCTGGTGATCTGCAGGCCAAGGTAGTGGCGCAGCTCACCAAGGTAAGTGCAAGTGTGTCTCTTCTGCAGTTCGAGCTTCACGTCAGCCAAAGCAACCCTGTCAGCAGTGGCGAAAACCAGGTCGTCGACGTATACCAGTACAATGAACGGTGTGGAGCCATGACGAACGAACAGCGACGGGTCGGCAGAAGAAGGCTGGAAACCAAGGTCAGAAAGGGTAGAGCGAAGGGTGTCGTGCCACTCACGAGGAGCCTGACGGAGACCATAGACCGGTCGCCTAAGCCTCCACTGGGTCCCAGGAGGGAAATTGCCAGTGAAGGCAGAGGGATGACGTAACCAGACCTCATCGTGTAGGCTACATTGAAGTAAAGCAGTGGAGAAGTCAAGAGAGTGTAACTCGTAGTCTCTCTGTGCTGCTACGTGCAGTAACACCCAAAGAGTGGTCATCTTCGGGGTAGGCGCGAAGGTCTGAAAGAAGTCATCTCCCTCGCGCTGACTAAAACCTCTAGCCACATAGCGGGCCTTGAAGACCGGAGGAGATCCCGGTGGCCGCTTCACCCTAAAGATCCACATGCCATCGACTAAATTTGCCCCAAGGGGGGGAACCTCGTCGATGTAGGTGCCTGTGGATCTGTAGGAAGCCATCTCTGAGTCCATGGCAACTCTCCACTGAGAGGCCCAAGGCCCTGACACTGCCTTAGCGTAAGTGCGAGGAGTCGGTATGTCAAGGGCGTCGGGGTCTCCCTCAGGGGCGAGCAGCATGGCACAGAGATGAGGGGAAGCGGCTGCCAGGAAATCCAGCTCAAACTGCCTGTCCTCTAGGGCGTCACAGCCAAGGGCAGACTCACCCCCGATGGCCAGAGGACTGGTAGGAGGAGCAGCCACAAGACTGGTGGCGTAGTCAAGGCAACGAGTAGAGGCAAACTCAGTGACTGCGGCAGTAAGAGCGGAGACAGAGGACAGAGAAGCACGTGGGTCGGTAACAAGAGAGGCGAGAACACGAGAGAGAACAGGACGGTACGTGCGGTAGTAGTCTGTGACAGGAGTAGAGAGGGAAGCAGTGAGAGCCGACTCTGGAGGAGAAGGAAGTACAGAAGGAGACAAACGAGGCGGACTAGAAAGAAACAGGGCAGTACGAAGGTCAGTGAAGGGAACAGGGGACGAGGGACCAGCACGAGGAGAGCGATGCGAAGGCCAAATGTGAGAAAGAGGAGGGGACAACGGGGGCAGAGGAGGAGGGAAAACAGCTGGGGAGGGGTCAGGAGGAGGAAGCGGAGGACCAGAGAGAGGAGGAGAGGGGGGGGAGGGAGGAGAAGGAGAGGGGAGACCGAGGGTCCGAAGACCAGAGACAGGAGGAGGAGGTGGCTGCTGCTGCTACTCCTGCTGCGGCTGCTGCTGCGGCTGCTCCTGCTCCGGCTGTTGCTGCTGCTGCTCTTGCTGCTCCTCCAGCCGCAGTAGCTCCAGCTGCTGCCGCTCCAACACTCTCTCCTCTCGCTCCAACTGCAGCTGCTCCTCACAGGCACAGCGAACATGGGCCTGGTGCCGGGTCGGGTAGGGGTGGGGGGGAGGAGTAGTGTCCGGAGCGGTGGTAGCCCCAGGACCGCTCTCCAAAGAACCAATCGCACCACCCCCAGAGCCAGCACCACCAGAAGTAATAGGGTCCGTCCTAGGCTCTCCAGGTCCAGCAGAGGGCGCACCCCTAGTCGTAGCACCCCCAAGGACAGCTCCACGAACACCAGCTCCCCAAAGACTAAAATCTCCTACAGTCACGGGCTTAGCTCCAACTCCAGCACCCCCAGAACCAGGACCTTGCACAGGTACGCTCTCTGCTCCAACTCCAGCACCTCTAGAGCTAGCACCTCCAGGGTCCTCGCCACGAAAACCGGCTCCCGCAGGGTCTGCTGTAGGCTGGGAGGAGGACTGCAGGGAAGGAGGCTGCACCTGAGGGGCTACTGAGGGGGGAGGGGTAGCGTGGGACACACCTGACGGGGCAGGACCAGGGGGGGGGAGGCTGTACCGGGGGAGCAAGAGGGGGAGCTGAAGTCAGGAAGAGAGGGGCAGGAGGAACCGGGAGACCTTGACAGGGGTACCTGACGTAGTAGGGGACAGAATCGTCGAAACAGACGTCACAAGAGTCAAAGAACCAGTGAAGGGGAGGGTGGTAAAAGGTGTAGTCAGACGAGTCCTCAGGGAAACCAGGGAACCAGCGCGAGGCGAGATCTTGTCCGCGGAGGTGCCGCGAACAAGTGCCAGGCAACCCCAGACACGAAAACGCGACGCAGCACCAGGGGACCCGGTCTAAAGACTGGTGAAACCTCTGGCCGAGAGACACGTGGCCAAAGGTTCAGCTGGTGAGCGGCGTACCGAACCGCGTAGGGCCACAGAAAATGGGTGGCACGGGCGTGAGTCATGGAGGTGCAGGTGATCTCCATGACCAAGCCTATGCGGCGCTCAGCGACCCCATTCTTCTGTGGGGACTCTGGAAGCGTCCAGGACCGACGGATGCCCTGCTTGCGACAGAATCCAGCGAGAATGCCAGAGCGAAACTCACCCCCGCGGTCGCAGTGAAGACAGCTGACACAACGACCACGAGTGTCGGCAGTGGTAAGCAACCACCGGATCAGAATAAAATTCACATCGGACTTCTTCGCCAGGGGGAACACTGTGGTGCAGCGGGAGTAGTCGTCAACGACCACAAGAAAGAAACTCTCTCGCTCAGGGCCAGGGCGCGAGGCAGGGCCCCAGACGTCCAAGTGGAGAGTCTCAAAGGGCTCGGTGACCGGACGAAGGGAGGAGGAGTGAGGGGTGGCGCGCAGCCGACCCTCGACGCAGGGACCGCAGGGTGGCGCAAGCGAAGGCGGCAACGACGGCAAGACACGCGGGAGGCCTAAGACAAGACGCTGACTAGACATAGCGCGCAGGTGAGAAATGGACG